TGTCCTTTTATCATCATTTCTTTTTTGGTATATTTTTTCATTAAATATAAATTTTGGTATTTCAATACGATTTACAATTCTTATTGGTACAATATTACTTGGAATAGGAATAACAACAGTACAAATTACATCAAGTGCACTTACATCTGATTTAATTGGTCAAAATACAGTAAGACAATATTAATTAATTGTTTTATGTATTAATTCTTATTCGTATAGGAAAGTAGTGCATTTGTTTATGGAGCTATGTCATTTTTGGATAAATTAGCTAATGGATTGGCAATAACATTTATTCAACAATATAATCCTTGCAGGTATGAATGTATTTATTTTTTTCTTCATTAAAACTATAATTAGTCTTCTCATTTTTTTCTTCGTAGTACATGTTCAACTTGTTGTCCACTTTTTTATCGACAAATTCTTTCATTTGTACCTGGTGTTACTACATTTTGTACATTATTAATATTAATAAGCATTACACGTATTCATAGTAGTACTCAATGGATAGATTCAATACGACAATCTATTAGATCTTTATGGAATCGAATAATGCGACGTACTGTAAAAGTAATAGTAACCAAAATTGTATAATAATTTATAATCACGAATTACAACGATTTTCAGAATTCCAACGAAAGAGTTATTCACACAAGAACGTTGCTCATGTAGTTTGTCAGAATGCTACGATATATGATTATATTTGTGAGCTTATTAGTCGGATTTTTTTTTTTTTACTATAAAAAAATTCAAACAATTAACTAGTATATGTTGTTTTATACAACATAATTTAATAATTTATGTAGAGAATATTGTAGAGTTATATTTTGTAATGATATAAATAAATTCTTAATAAATATTGATTATATTTTAATAATATCAATGTAAGATTATTTTTATCATTCTATGATATCATGCAAATATGGGATAAGTGTGTTCATCGAAAAAACTGACAAAACTTTGTTACTGTTTCATTTTTTTTTACTAATTTTTGTGAATTTCAGGATTTCTGACGAAAATGGGCTTTTTTTTGAGGGGTGAGCTTAATAGTGAGAAATATGTATCTGAACATTTAGTGCAAGAAATTTTATGATTCATATGAGCAATTTTTATAGGTTTAAAGTATGTCTATTTATTCCATTTTAAATAAAGAAAAACTACAGCGAAAACACTTGTTATTTTCTGCTCTTACTAAGGTTTACGTCTAATTCTTTTAAACTGATCAATTTCTGTGTTTTTAATACTTGTTCTTGGGCATCATACTTGTCATCTTTGAGAGAACGTACGATATTTTTTTACCGATTCTATATTGCCATTTGATCGTAATTCTTATTTAATGATATCAATTTGTGAATGTAAAAAATTTTTATTTGACAGTTTAAACAATGATTTGTAAAAATCTAGAAATAAAAATAACTATAACATTTGTGATTTATATAATGTTCTAGAAAATTCACTATAGAAAGAAAGAAGTCAGAGAATCTAAATTTGAGATTTGATTAACATTAAAATCGAAAAGGTCTTTTTATCGTTTTCCAAAAAAAAAAATTGGTTTTAAAAAATTTGAATTTTAAATTATCTTATATATTAACCTAGAATCAACCATCTGTTTATTAAGCACCAATCTGCCATGAATACAAACCAGATTAGTCTTTAAAAAAAACTGTGTTCAAATTTTACAAATTTTCTATGAATGATTTCTCCTTCCCTCTTTATTTTTCATAACTTTAATTTTATTAGTTGGAAAGTGTCCCCACTGTTGTTAATGTCTCGCACATCTATAAGATTCACAAGTTTATATGATTGAGTTTTGGAAATATCGGCAAAGATTTTCTCCACTATTGTCAGGACAGAAAACGATGTTGTTCAGGCCATATGAAAGAGGATCCCTTCAGATCCTCTGATTGTCTTGATCAATCTAGGGGTTATAAAGGTCCTCTTTTATATGGCTTATATAACACTCTATCTTGCTCTTACAATAGTGAAGAAAAAGCTTGCTGGGAAATAGCCTTCCCCTACTCAGATTCTCAACTCCACAGATTTTAGGAGACAGCCTGGCGAATCAAATTCCTTGCCTTCGAAAACTTTCAATCAAGTGTTATGAAAAATCGTTATTTTCTCGGTATAGCCTCAGTTTGATCGAGAAATAGAGTCGGAATATTCTGACTTTCACCCTTACTTAACCTCAGTTTTTACCTTATTTTTCAGAATTCTAAGGGCATTACAGTACTTTTTCAGTGCTTTTTTTAGCACCTTTCCAGCACCTCAGCACCTTCTTCGCATCATAGAGCCAATTTGGTGCTAGGAACTTGCACTTTTCCCCTTGTCCTTAAGTCTTCATACGGATTTTTATAAGGGAATCCATAGGTCAGCAGAGGGATGTAACAATGCTAACACTTCCAATAGCAATACCAAATGCTATTGGTGGTATTGATGTCGATATTTTGCAAAGGAAAATCAAACTTGAAAAATTCGAAAAATTAATGATAGATTCGCATTCTTCGCTTCCGAAAGCCGTTGTTCAAACATTAGATATCACCGCTATTCTCCCAAAAAAATCTTTGTTTTATGAAAAAAGCTAGAACCTAAAATGTTGAGAGATTAATTTTAAGTTCTTCATTTTTTCGTTAAGCAAAGATTTTTTTCCGAAAATAAGGTTTTTTTGTAAAGTTTGGCTAAAGTCTGGTGGAGCCGAGGAATCCAAAACTATCATTAGTTTTTCGGAATTTTCAAGTTTGATTTTCTTTTGCAAACTACCGATACCAATACTACGAATAGCATTTGTTACTAGTATTGGAAGTATTAGCATTGTTACATTCTCTTGCTGACCTATCGGTACCCTTACATAATAGGATCGGAGGACCGGAGGATACCTTCATATAATAGAAGATGAGGACCCAAGGGTATCTTCGCTCACGCTCATGAACGTTCATATGAGTATGAGCGGTACAACCCTATCTATAAGTCATCATCAATTAACTATTATTAAATATGTTTGTATGATTTCCACAAATGATACAATGCCCAACGAGTTGTATTCAAAATAGTAATTAATCTACGGCTAAAAATCACAGAATTTATTGGTATTACTTAAATGAATTATTATATAAAATGAAGATGAAATATAAATTATATTTGATGCTTTATTTTTTATTGAAAATATTTTCAAAGATAAGATAAGTCGAATATGGATAGTCCATGTGACAATACACAAATGACGATGATTACTATTTTTATGAGAAATATTTTCTCATATGAAAGGGACTATTGATGACGAGATAATTTTAAATTCATATAATAAAATTCTAATAGAAATTGAAGAACATTCATTAACCATAAAAATCCTATGATCGAATACCGAAAGAAACACAGCTTTCATTAGGAGATAAACAGCCTGACTTTGAACGAATAAATCTTTTTTTTTTATCAAGAATATGATCTATGTCTTAAACAATTATTAGACATATTAAAAAAATAATCGAAGAAGGAAATGTGAAAGTTGCAGAATATTATCGTGTTCTAGAGATTGGTCCTATAAGATCAATATGACCAAGTTAATAATGTTCAATGAGACAATTAACATTTTGATACTAGTACTACGACATACAATAATCTTGATTTTTTTTATTATAAATAAAATAAAGATTTTGATGAAACATTAAGATATAATCAAAAAACGATTAGAATCAGTCGAAAGAGTTTTGTTACTTGAGTATTCAGATTTTATTTCAAGGCAATATATAATACTGAAAGATTTGAAAATATAATAAAAAATTAATTCAATAATTATTGTTAAATAGAACATTATACCGTTTTCACTATTGTTTTTATTAGAAATGAAGGCTGAAAAAAAAGAAATATTCGTTCTATTAACTTTGATGATGCATACCTCCTCATTCTTTTCTTTTTTAACTCTTTCTCTAAAAAAAACACACTGGACAAAATCGGCATTCAATTTTTTCCTATCAGTTATAATACATCAATAACAACTGTTTTACGATTTGAATTACTAAACAATGAACAGTTAAAATATTGGGTACATGTATAAATGCATTAAAAAAAATGATCGAATATCGATTTGCTCTCGAGTTTGCGAAACTGCAGTTTTGTGTCCATATGCTCCTCTCTCATAAGGTATTTTAGTTATATTGTAAAACCCGAGAGTACGGCTTGAATATTCTACGTTCCTACTAATCATCATTTTACAATGAACTTTTTTTGATGTTGTGCAATAATATTTCATATTCTTACTTTTGTAAGCAATCTAGCAATACGGATACTAAAATGACTTATCAAAGTGTATCATTGACAACTCTCATAAAATTCTGTTGTCTTTTGCGATGTGTTTATATTTATAATATACAAGTAATTGAAATATCATGAGAGTGTATTTCATAATTGAATAACAAACATTCTTTGGTTTATGCAATTGAATAATCGATTTATGTAAAATATGCTTTTTCTACGATATTATTAAATTAATATTGATTAAATCTAGAAAATTATATTTCATAATTAAAATTATTCTCCAATGATCAAAATCCAAAATACTATCCATTGGAATTCTCTAAAACAAAGAAATTCGTCTTGTTTTTTTTTTTAAATCGATAGGTCATTTTATATTTCATTGAAATTTATATGTTGATTTATATATATATATATATATATTCTTTTTGTTTAATTAAAATATTTGCTACAACCCATCGCTCGCCTATGACAACGTATGTTCTTTTTTTATTACTATTCGTCACTAACGTTGCTGTTATTTTTCTCTTTGCTTTCGTAGCTAAGTATAAAATAAAATAATAATAAAAGAAAAAAAAGAATCACTTATTCTTTATTGTGTCAACATTCTTTTTTGATTAGCACTTTTCGTTCTTCATTAATTTTAGTAATGAATGCATACTATACTTATTATGAGCATAAACTTCAATCGACACTAAATTTGCAATAGCATTGTCGATGAGAAGAATGAATTGATTCTTTTTATTATAGTATTAATCATGGCATCGACTACTGTAAAGAAATCTTGTGCCACATGTCGCAAACATGGTGATGTCTTCACATGTCGTGGATGTCGAAAAGCATTTTGTGCTAAACATATTGATGAACATCGTGAAATACTTTCGAAAAAAATAGAAAATCTTGCTGAAGAACTTGATCTTATACGAAATAGTTTAAATCAAGAAAATGAAGCACAATCTGTTCTCTCTATGATTGATAAATGGGAACAAGAATCAATTGCAAAAATTTGTCTTGCTGCTGAAAATGCTCGAAGTGAAATACAACGATGGATTGATCGAAATAATATTGAGGTAAAAATACCACTTGAAAGAATAACAAATGAACTTCGATCATGTCAACAAACAGATGATTATACAGAAATTGATCTCAAAACGTGGACTCAACAATCAGAAGAATATCGTAGCAAAATTGAACAATTACCTATTGTTAACATTATGAATAATGATGATATAGATATTATTCATCTAGTTAAATTAGGAGAAATACAATCTAATTCGATGACACATTCAACGCCTATACTCGATAATTCATCGATTAATGTTGAAGAATCACATCTTCTTATTCGAGAAAAATTTGACGATGCTATTGGATCAACTACACTATTTGAAGATGGTGTTATAGCGACATATTCAGGCGCTTGGTTAGGTGATTCAAGTATTTATGGTATTAATGTTTATTCAACAGGAACACATCATATTCGTTTTCGTATTCTTGAAAAATTTTATGATTCACCTTTTTTCGGTATTATTACTGCATCACAAAAGAATAAGAAACGAGTTTTAGAATCAGTATCTGCAAATGGTTGGTGGAATTTTGACTGTCCTATTGTAAATGGTGAAAAAGATAATCGAGTAGAAAAAGATAAAATTATTCGATCAAAAGATGATCTCACATTAACATTGGATTGTGAACGAAAACAGATTTTTCTTAAACATCATCGAACAAAAAGACTTCTTCATTTACCAATCGATATTCGAGCATGTCCTTTTCCATGGAAAATACTTGTTGTTTTACATCGTCGTGGTGATTCAATACGGATTATAGGTGGTACATTAAGTTTAACGAGAGAAAATTTATCAAGTAGATTAAGTGAACATCGAAAAGTGTAATTTGATATTTCAAGCTGTTTCATGAGACTTAAAATATGAATATTTATCTTTATATTTTAAATATATAATTTAATTAGTCTTTTTTATATTTTTTTGTTTGTTTTAACAGATGATACTTGTTTGAACGATTCAAAATACACCATTTGGTCTTTTTAACATGACTGTTTACCACCATTCTTAAAGTTAGTCGTCATTGTTATTTACAAAATGTTGTGTTCAAATCTCAGTATCAGCAGTCATAGAATGATTTGGGACAAGTCACTAACAATTGTTTCCCTCGGATCACCTGCCCGATAGCATGTTGACAATGTTGTGATATACAGACAGGTGCTCTTGTAGCTAGTTAGTGTGTATGGGGAGCTCAAGCAATTGAGTACAAGGATTCTTCTGTTAGTTCAACCTTCTGTCTAGAGCTACAGCTAGTATTGGTTCTAGGAAAGATATCGAACTATTGAATTTGTCACTAGGTAGTACCCTATACAGCAAAGTTACCAACAGGCAGGAGTATTCTTTATTCTTCGTACATTAAAATAATTATTGTCGAAAGTATTTTTATAAATATTTTATCTATTTTAATGACTTGAAAAAAGATTCATCTATCTTAATTTAGTATCTAATCAAAGATGTGGCGACAGAAGCTGCGAACCTGCCTCCTCTTTGAGAAAATTTTCATTTTTGTCTCCAAGTAAAAATCGTTCTTTTTCGTTGAAAAAAAAAGAGATTGTAGAATGAAAAAAAAAATCTTGCATTTCGATTAAAAAACAAAGTTGCATATGTACCTTTCCAGCTCATAGAAATTTTTTTCTTCCACCCTTTACTTTTTTTTGTCTTCGCCAGGTCTTTGTACTTGATAAAAAAAAAACCAGAATAACAACTCAAATGGTTAAAATCTTTATGCATCAATTATAGACAAATTCGATCATATGTATTAAGATATACAGTTGGATTTATCATGAAGTCATAGAGAAAAGAAACCTAGTACTAACAAGAATGAATGAATAGTTTTTCTACTCATTTACTTGTCTAACATCGATTCTTTTTAAAACTTCTCATTTTCTATATGTTCAACATGTGTTTCATGAAAATATCGTTGAATATTAGAAGATTATTTTGACATTGAAAATTTATCAAAAAGAAAAAACAATCATTGGCTTTTTATTTGATTTCGACTCAAACAATTGTACTCAACTGAGTTCTGATGACTTTATTTTTCTCTTGCGTATATTTGCCATAAAAATTTCATATACGAAATGTATGCAACTTAACCAAATAATTCAAAGATGTTTATACTACGACAATGTGTTGTGGATTTAAATTATTCACAATTCTTCATTATATAAAAACCGTATAGTTCATGAAAAAACATCTTTTTGATCGGTACAAAAAAAAGATATTTCAATTTGGAAATAACTGATTTCCCATAGCATGTCAAATATAAAAATCTGTTGATTCTTTTTATATATAATGAAAATGGTTTGTATATAATTGAAATAATTCTGTTTGGTTTATATAGAGTTGAATAAATCTTCCATTTATAATTCAGATTCCAAGTTAATATTATTCAAATTATAAATTATCAAAATATTTCTCATAAAAAAAAAAAAAGATTATTATTATTCATCGAAAATTTCTAAACATCATTCATATAACTTTCAAGTTTATTAATTTTAGTTTGAAATTTATTTATTTCACTGTCAGATTATCAGAATTATCGTTTAGTTAAAATGACTAACAACATAGAAAATATGTATCACATAAGAACATTATTGGACAGTTCAGTAATCATCAGTAGAGAACTGTTGGTCTTTTCAGACCCGAGTCCGGCTTCACAAAAAACATGAACTTGCAGCTCCTTGCTTACTTGATTTCACTTACAGAAATACAACTAAAACTATTCCTTACAAATGAAGATTTTGGTTGTTATTGTTGCTTTGACGATTTTTATTTATCAAATAACTGTTCAATTGCCTTTTTTTTTTTTGTTAAGATAATACTCTTTTCAATTAAACAAAAAATTCTAATTTATTAAGCATCGAATGATGAGAAAGTGAATAACAAGAACACAAAGAGTACTAGATATTGGCAGAAAAAAAAACTCGAGTTGAAACTCGCAGCTTCCTAATTACCAATCCCTTGTAAACAGAAGAAATAAATAAGTCTTTCCGAAAGTTTCTCTAATAAATATTTGCAGAAATGAATTACAATTTTGAAATTGAGACAGTCGATGAGAGATGTCAATCTTGTTTAATCCTATTATAATTGTTGATTACTTTCAAAATAAAGCAGCGTTACAACTCTAACTGAAGCAATGACAATCTTAGTGTCTATCAAGAATTTTTTCTAGGAAAGATCTAATCTTTCCACTAAATATCTTACTAAAAAAATCCACCATATATACTGATAACATGTAAAATTTCTTTTTATTTTTAAGACTGATTTTTTCAAACAAAAAGTAAGTTCAAAAGTGAATAATATCAGAAACAAGGCTTCACGAATTAGTTATGTAGAATATTAATCAAGATTCAGATGTAAAGTTGATTCTATTATTGATCAATTTTCTAAATCTAATCATCATCATCTAGATCTTTGGATTTTATTATAATAAAAGTTATTTGTTTATGAATTTCTAGAGTTTTTGGTATAAAAAAGAAGATATAGAGCAACATATGCGCATAAGAGCAATATCTCTCTCTATTGGATAACTCGTTACTTTTTTTTTATAAAAAGTTTCATAAAGCAGTACGATATACAATTAAATTGACAAATAAATTTTCTAATTTATTGTAATAGATAAATGTATTTTTTTTTTAAATTAATATATTTCACAAAATGAGATCCACGAATTAACATGAAATTATCTTCTAAGTCAATCAAACATGACTGAAAAGCTTGCTAATTGACTTTTACATTACAAAAAAACTATTACAATTTAAGAAATTTTCCATTTTATTCTTGTCCTAAACTGCATCTATAAAATTGTTTTTCTCTTAAGTCAAGTATCATTTAGCTTTTCAATCAGTATGAATATTAATTTACAGATCTTTTCTTTTTTCTTAATATTCAATAGACAAATAACTATGTTTGTCAAGAAACGAAAGACGAACATATATCGCTTGAGTAAATTATCCGTTAACAAAGTATGGTCATGTTCACGCTGAAATAACAATACCATTTAGTAAACATATGATTAGTTGTCATTTAGTCGATATAACCAGGTGTTATTTTCTTTTTGTTATTGAGCTCGAATAGAAGAATATATATATATTTTTTTTTTAATTAACTGTTCCTTGTTCCACCCACCTGCAATTATACAGTCAAACACTTGAATGAAGCAGAGAAAAGTAAAAAATCAAATTTGATATGACACACATTCAATTCTCCTCCTTTCATTCAATTCAATACAATAAAAATACGTAATTCATGTATTGTTCGTCAAGAGATTAACAACTATATGATCAGTTCGAAGTTGCTTACGGTGGTTGATCTTTTTCTTCATTGGCTATATTTAGTGCCCTGAAGGAGACTCGTGTATGCACTATATGTTCACTATTGAGTGTCGTTTAATTTCAAGCATATATACACACATATCATCATCATCGTCATCATTGAGAAAAGTAATCAAGCATTGCTAATCATAATCTCAGGTAAAAACATCCGTTTATAATGAACGATGATGAAATCTTTTATTTTTTTCTTATATTTAAATGAAAATAATGATTCATAATTTTGATTAATTAACTGCTGGGAACAAAACCGGATTTTTCGAGAAAGAGAGAGATGAGAAAAAAAGGTTTGTGCGAACAAGAAAAATCTGTGGTATAGTTTTACCCATATATATATATATGTATGTAAATCAAAACATACAAGAAATAACTATCATTATTTTCGTATTTTCTATATGAGTAAGTAAGGAATCAATATGAAGAAAATAATGAAAATAAAAAAATAAGATTCTAATTTTCTTTTATATAGTGATCAAGATTTTTTTTGTCCTTTCTCATTCTTTTACTTACACTTAAAGTACATAGAAATATTTTTTCTATTATGTTTCTTATTGGTCACTATTTTTCTTGTCTATCCTATCCTGTTATTGGATTGCTCCCGTCTTCATATATTTGCATTGATATTATTGTTATTGCTTGCAAAAGAGAGACGAAGAAGAAGAAGGAGAAAAAAAAAGATTAGATTATTCTCCAACGACTTTTTTTTATTTATCAAACATAAATACTATCAATGCGTTTATTATTAAATCAAACTGATCAAATGCCAACACCTTCGAAAGTATTTTCTGATCATGAAAGTGATGAATTTGATGATGACGATAATGAAATGATGGTAAATTATTCTAACCATCATCATCATCATCGTCAATCAACAACAACAACAGCCACACAAAAAAAATATAACAATCGATCAACAACATTATCATCATCAAAACGAAATAATGGTCGAAAATCAATTTCAATTAAAAAACGATCAAATATTAAACGATCAAGTAAATTAATTCATACATATGATAGTTTTGATACATATGATATTGATGATGTTAATCAAATTGATAATAATCAAAATTCAGGTCAACGTCATGCAGCTAATTTACGTGAAAGAAAACGTATGCAATCAATAAATGATGCTTTTGAAGGTTTACGTACACATATACCTGTACATCCATATGAAAAACGTTTATCAAAAGTTGATACACTTCGTTTAGCTATTGATTATATAGCTTTTCTTAATCGTTTATTAACTAGTACATCACAAACAGATTCAATACATCCATTACCTCAACCATCACATCGTTTTCGTTCACATCCATCTCATCCTCATGGTAATAATTGTCCTGTATTAACAAGAAAAAAAATTATTCTTGATTGTACACCAATAACTAATGACAATAATGATCAAGGTAAGAACATATCCAATTAGATTTGATGAATTAAATTAATAAGCGTTAATAGATCAAACAAACATTTTTTCTTTTTTTTTTTTTTCTATGACTC